ATAATATTACATTGATAACATAAACTGAAGTGTTCATGAAACAGAATACGATATGAAAATAACAAAAATGTGGCTTTGACACAGAAGCCATGCATATGCACAAGATAAAAAATTAGTAAAGATAAAATATTACCTAAAGATGAATCGATAACTTTTTTTATTTATATATCTAGACTTTCTTTTGATGAAGAATATTTATATGTGTGCCATCTATTGCCCCTATACCAGGAAAGCTACGTGCAGAAGAGAATCTATAAACAATATTTGCAATATCATTTTCAATATTTTCAATATTATTTGGGCCACACTATATATAGCTTTCTAAGAGCTCACACAATGCTTTTGCAACATGGCATACAACTGTACCCAAATAAGAAGGGAGTGCGTTACGGCGGGGCCCGACCACGAACCAGTCGTGAAAACTCGTAATTATTTTGCGAAAAAATACCACCTCAGCCACGAACCTGGATCTCCTGCTTACCAGGCAGGCATCTTATCCTTTCGACTACCGAGGCATGTGATATTTGTCGTAATAACGTGTTTAGAACAACATGTCAACAATACAATGATATACACACATATACATATATTACAATATACATATATATATATGTATATTCTCTCGAATCCCCACGATCGGTACTCCAGAGCGATGTTGTTCTCTCTGTTATGGCTGTATCTTTACTAATGTTAAATCTTTAAATTATTGGTCTAAGAAAAGCAAGAAATATTGTTACATGTAGTATTACGATTTAATGGCAATAATTATAAAGATAATTACATGTTTACCTATACGAATCTGATGTCGCAAAACGCCATAGAGCTATTAAAACCTGTTTTTCGGCTGAGATTATTACATTTCTATTATTCGGACGACGCTTTTTTTCAATTTGACTCAAAATGTACTCAAATGTTGAAGGATGGATACTAGAATTAAATTTGAAATACCATTATATGCATGTAACATTTCAGAATTTGAGTACTTCATAGTACATAATAGTATATATATAAAACAAATTGGATATAATAAAAATAATAATAATACCGAAAATGCGATTTAAAATGTTCACTAGAAAACGATAGTACTATACATATTCAACATAATCTTCAATTCGATTGTAAGGTTGACTTTTTGTAGAAAGAGCTTTTATTAAAAAATCTTCAATTTCTTCATTTAAATAAGAAGTTTTCAAAAATTTATTAACACATATTAAAATTATTATTTTCTTTCTACGGTTTATATCCATTTTTTTATATATTTATATCTCTATTTTCTATTTTGATTACTCTCAAATTGTTGTAAACTAGTTTTTCAAATTAATTAAAATTATTCATATTAATTCTTCATTAAACTTGTTAAAATATGTACTTTTATCAAATCAGCCATTAATTTTAATCTACTGTTTGTCATACTTTGGATTCTGCCATATTGTGTACATTTGCCAATCAACGATTTCGAAGTATTTGTAACGCCACTTTGACCGTAGGTTAGCGTTTATTTGATACTTTGAACTTTAATAGTGTTCATTGACCAGTCCAATGAAAGCGTTGGAATAAAAGCGATTGTAGAATTAGTAGGGTCCGCTTGACCGCACCCCAAGACGAGATACGCGGTATTTTGTTAATACGATTAAAACGGTCTCGCTTTCCCGCGCGGAGAGCGGTCAGTCGGTTGCCAGGAGGGGAAGCGAGGACATTGGAGACAGAAAGTTGTTATTAAGTTGTTAGGCGATAATTATAAGAAATAACGATGCTTTATTCAACTAACAGTGGTGCGATGGAATGCACCGAATCTTCGCGTAAATGTTCGTGGCCGTGGACGGGCGAGACGGCGATCGGCGCGCGGATAGCGCGTGGATACAAAATGAAATATCGCTCTGGCGGTCGGCGCGATACTGGTCGCGGCGCGCAGCTCGGTGGCGCGGGGCGCGTGCGGCGGCGGCGGTGTCGCACGTGTTCGTTGCGGACCTTAAATCGGCGTTGATTGAAACGTGCACGCGTGTCGCGGGTGTTGTCGCGAGGTGGATATTCGCGAGGTCATCGGA